GTGCTGCTGGCGGAGGTGGGTCCCACCAACACCCGCTGGGGTGGAGTGGGGTCCCCATCCTGCCACCCTGCTCACCCCCTTCCCCACTCACCCCCGCCCCAGGTCCAGAAGACAATGAAGGAAAACCTGGCCGTTGTAGAGGACAACTTTGCGGACATAGACGCCCGCATCAAGAGGCTGCAGAAGTGAGAGCACCCTGGAGACTCCCCCTGCACTGGGCATCCCTGCCCCCCCGCCTCGGGCCCTGCGACCCCCTGGGAATCACTCCCTCCCCCTGCAGGTACCAGCCCCTGCTTGTATATACCCTGGCTCTGCCCCCCTGCACAGCATGGGGGCTGGAGGGGTCCTCCCCCCCCTCCATTCCCACCTCAGGCGGGGGGGTCTCTATACCCCTCCAATTTACCCCAATAAACAGCTCAGCTCAAAGTGCATCTGTGTCGGCATCTCCTTCGGGCTGTGGGGTGTGAGCGGGGCCCAGCCGCTGGGTTTTAAATGCACCTTTTAATGATGTATAACCCCCCCCCACAAGTACCCCCCCACAGCCTCCTCTTTGCACTAAATCCAGTCGCTCTGTCGGAAAGCTGCGACCCACAGAGGAACGTCTCCTCGTTGCCACCCGTGGGGCAGGGGGTCGTGTGTGTATGGGGATGAGGAGGACCCTGAGTGGGTGGGGACAGCCCGGGGCAGGGGTGCATGGCCCCCCCCCCAGGCTGGTGGAGATGATTATTGCTAGTACTGGGGGACGGGAAGGGGGGGAAACTTGTTTTTGGTGAGGGAGAACCTCATGCTAAACTAACCCCGAGTGGATCCAGCCGTGGGACTGCGACACCCCCCAAGCCTGAGGTAATGGGGGGCAGCAGGACCCCCCAGCATGGGGAGTGGGCACCGGGAATGGACCCCCCGGCTGCGTCCCCTAGCACCAATCCTGTCCCCCCAGAGCAGGGGCTTCCCCGGGGTGGGGGCCACCACTGGCAACGGTGGGTTTGAGCCCTGTGGGCAGTTGCTGGGCCCTGATCTTGTTGGGATGACGGAGACGTGGTGGGATGGCTGCCAGGACGGGGGACGCAGGAGGTGGGCAAGGCTGAGGCACTGAAGGCTGCCTTTGCTTCCATCTCTTACCGAACCCCCCCGTTACTGACACCCCTGTTACCGCTCCCCCCGCCGTTACCGA